AATACAACATGTTTTGGCTTCTATTCTTTTTATCTACTCTAATAATCCCAGAGTGATTATTTAACCCATCCCCTTGGGGAGCTTGGGGTTAAGGGTATTGCTCAGAGAGCCAGAGTGACAGTGTGTGGGATCGAACTCACAACCTCAGGATTCAGAGCCCTATGCCCTCACCACTTGGCCGCCACTCCCCTAAATCCTAAACCTGAAACAGGGGTCTTAAACCATGGTCTTTAGGACCCACTGTCTGGTATATTTAGTCTGGTATATACTAGTTTTTCCCATAGTGGAGCAGATAGACATCTAAAACATGTGAGACAGAGAGTTTGAAGACCAGGGTTGAAGACCTCTGTCGTAATCCATATATCACACTATTAAAAGCAGATCAAGGCCACATGTGTGGGATTACACTACATGTGTGGGATTACAGACTCAAAGGAGCACAGATTAAAACTCTCAGCATCCTGCTTATTCTGCTGCTGTCTTCGCTTCGTAATATATCACTACTTTGTCCTAATCTCCCAATCCCATTTAACACCTTAGATTCAGTGGTGGACAAATTATTCATCTATAGTACTTGAGTAAAATAATTTATACTTATGGTAAAATATTACTAAACTACAAGTAAAAGATGCTCGGCCAAAAACCTGCTCAAGTCAAAGTATTGAAGTACTTATTTTATACTTATTAGTAGGGATGCACGATATAATCGGCCCCCTATCGGTATCGGCCTGTATCGGAGGAGCCTGATAACTAAAAGGTCTGCCCCCATTCTACTTTTAGAAATTCTAGGAACCACTAGTAAACCTGCAGATTGAGAGCGAAGTGCTCTGTTAGGAACATAAGGAATAATCAGATCTGTTTAAGGCTTTATATTTGAGAAGGAGGATTTTATATTCTAATCTAGATTTATTAGGAAGCCAATGAAGAGAAGCCAGGATAAGAGAGATATGTTTTTATTTTTTCATCAGAACACTGGGTGTAGCATTTTGAATCAGATGAAGGCTTTTAACTACCGTTTATGGACTTCCTGATAGTAAAAAATTAAAATAGTCCAGCCTTGAAGTAACAAATACACGGACTAGTTTCTCAGCATCAACCCCTGGACAGGATATTTGTAATTTTTGCAATATTCCGCAGATGAAAGAAGGAAATTCTAGAAACCTCTTTGATATGGGATTTAAATGACAAATTCTGATCAAAAATAATGCCAAGATTTTTGACTTTATTATCTGAGATCAATTTAATTCCATCCAAATGAAGTGACTGACTAATCAGCTCTAGTCCAAAGACTGTAGCTTCAGTTTTGTCTGCATTCAGGAGCAGAAAGTTAAGAGTCATCCAGGTTGTTATGTCTTCAAGACATGCCTGTTGTCTCTGTAATGGGTTTGTTTTCTCTGGATTTATAGACATATATAGCTGAGTATCATCAACATAGCAGTGGAAATTAATCCCATGCTGTCTAATAATTCTACCAATTCGGAGCATGTATATATATATATATATATATATATATATATATATATA